CACCCGAAATCTTGAGATTTCTCCAGATTCGTCAATGATAATGACAATCCCCTCTCTTGCGTCTAGTATGACGAGTGGATGAGATGATCAACTTGTTTCAAGGAAGGGAAGGTAACCAAAAAGTACTTGATAGACTGTAGAGTAAGAAATGCGATATACACAGTCTGCAATGAGATTTAAGAATAGAATGGAAGGAATGGAAAGAAGGATCGAGGTGCGATGGGTTCAAGGAAGTTACTGGGTATCTAGAGGAAAGATGCAGCTATACATGCAGCTATACCGATAAAATTATTAGAACCTCGGCACCTTTCCCCTGAGAACCAATCATCTTATTCGATTGTGTGCTCACTCAGGAGACTAGGAAATCTTGGATGCAGCATTATGGTCTGTAGACTGACTGTAGTGCAGTCTGTACGTACGTACTCCTGCTTTTTTCACTCTTTCGATTCTTCATAATCTCCATTTTAATTCCATTCCATTCCTCTCCTCTCCTGTCTGCCTCCCTCCTCTCGTTGTCTCTCATCTCCTTCTCCTTAATCATCGATACTTCATACCATTAGTCCAGGTGAAAAAGAGGAATGGCCAGACAATAGCTATGTCCTTGTGTATCCCAAACCTTACGACTCTAAGCCTGAACCTTGTGGAGATCTTCTTACAAGCACCAATTACTACAATCCGTTGATCTGTGTTGCAAGCCAATGAGAGTGCTGGTTGGGCGAAATACGGTTGACCTCTTCCATCGTAGCTCAAGCACGAGTCCAATAATCCTTACACACGATTCATGAGGATTTGTCTTGAATCTCGATACTTATCATATCTTGATACACAACTTGAAGAGAAGAAAGGATCAGGCGGTGTCTGGGATATCTCCGTCGACGATATTCCTCATTCTTTTCGGCGTGGAAGATACCCTCACTCATAGGTTAACGAAATATCGCTCGCTCACTCCCGGCATCACAAAACTACCGTAAGCACCACCTCATCTTGCTTGACCTACCTATGACCTACTACTCTATCTGAAAAGAGGCTAGAAAACGCGGGAGGAGAATGCCGTAAGCTGTGATTGCGGGCAAGAATCGGTATGACGGGTTATTTAATCTTTCACAGGGCTGAAAGAATGTGCTGATGCTGATGGCCTGAACGATTAGGGCTGACGGTCATGTCAGCATGCATATTGAAGGAGACGAATCAAGAGATGAGTTTCGTTTAGATGTAGATTGAAAGTAAATTTGATGCGAGATGTACATCTATGAGTCGTACGGGAATGAAATGAAGAGGGGAGGATATGGGGAAAGATTGGAGAAATACCTCGCAACTCAAACGTTGCTCCCGAATATGTAACGTTATTATGAAAAGCCTGGGAAAGCCTCAAGACTAGAAACATCTATTTTTCTACCCCTATAATCAAAGTAGAAGAAAAGCTCCCCAGGTTGTAATTCCCTTCAATACGATGCCCATGCTACAACAAAATCACACGTTGTAGACAAAAATTTCTCACATTACAAAAAGATTACAAAAAGATTACAAAAAGGGTCGATTAGTACTTACCACCACAGTGCCACTGCGCAGGCCATAGAATTATACAACAGACCGAGAATGAGTAAGATAAGATCTGACGTTGTACCAGTTAAAAACAAACACCGAGGCATCACAATCTACGATACAATATAAAGCAAAGCCTCTCAAATTCTAGACCCGATGCTCATTCCTTCGCCAAGTAGTTGCAAAAAGCTTCACGAATCGTCCAAAAAGCAAGCCGCGACGAGATTGTCTCATTCACTAGGTATACCGCTCTTCCGCCAGAAAACAGCCACTTTATGTAGCGACAATTTTGCAGAGCGATCATCACATTCCGAGTCTGGAGATGCATGTGTGGCGACGAATCGAGAGGTGATAAGGTAGAGGGTCTGGGAACACCAATCATTGGTCGGGTTGCTTATTGTTTCGATGTCGGGAGCTGTGGCTACCACGCAGAGTCATCGAATCGCATCTTCCGTTCCCCAGGTGTGTGTTTAGTGTGCCGATGTCTTTTCTCTCTGCTTGACGGACCACCAGACGTGTGGAGAGATGAGCATGAGTTAGTTATGGATCCTCCCGTCCATCCCGTGCCTCCAAGATTGAAGTGCCGTCCGTATTCTGATTTATGATTTGTTTTGCGAGATGGTTTTGGAAGTGTGAGGGGAAGTTCGAAAAATGTGTACTCAGGCTTATTAGGACGGAAAACTGGGACTCTAGAACAGTACATTACCTACACTCTTTTCAATGTTCGATCTCAATTCGGGAACTCCATTATTCTGCTGCACTGCTGCAGACATCGAGTGTATGTATCTAGATATAAGCCTTCATATAATATACTTTCCACTTCATTTATTTCTCAATAGACTAGCTAAGTGATATCATCAAAAATCCTCTCGGCAATATAAATGTTTTCAATATATGAATCGAATTGATTGAGTATATCGCTTTTTTCATCCATGTGGAACTAGCTATCCACCTGTCTTGATACGAATCGGAGGGACCGGAGAAGATGGAAACGAGCATTGCTCTTCTCCTGAAAAGAAGAATGTCGAAGAGGCTTTCAATCAATATACACCCCTTCCCGCTTGTATTTGGGGAGAGAGAGAAAACTCTCAATTTTGTAGTCAATGTGTTCCACCTTCTAAATCCGTTCTTTTGTATCGTAGCGATAGCAACAATGATAGTGATAGTAACCTTGGAATATTTAGAACGATAAGCCGCAAAGGCTTGCAATGCAATGGTAAGCATTGTCGAAGCCTGCAAAGACTCAAAATCAGCTGTTCTGCACTCCTCGTCCAATGACTGCTCACTAGTCACTCTGACATTATGACATGCATTAGATTGTGCCGTAGCGTGCTATCGTACATCTATCGGTTTGTTAGACCTCCCCCAAATCCCCATGTGAAGATGCGATTTGTCGACGACAGTTGCACAATACATGGGTTCACATTGTTCTAACCAACCATTGATTAACTTTCGGACGTCAATGTTGACGTGGACACCTTAGCATCTCGATGTATGTATGTATGTATGTATGTATGTTTCTCGCAAGCCGCATCGCATCTCGATCTTGGTGGTTGATCCGGTGCAGGCTATTTTCACGTCGAAATCTAAATATACACCTAGGTATCGCATGCCGTATGACTTTTGGCGTTTGGTTTGGGGTTCTTGGGTCGAAATCCCAGTGGGAAGTCTGAGGAAAATATAATAAGAAATATTAGACTTTCAGTGTTCCAGTGCCACGGTTAAGATAATCATGGTACGCCTAAAGTTCGGAGTCTAGGGTTTTATCCATATTACTTTTGGACCCCGGGTGTGGCCTCGGCCTTCTAACCGTTATTCTAGAAGAGGATTAGTCGGCGAATGCTTTTGTTTTAATCTATGTTCGGTATCTCTCTTCAACGATGTTTCAAAGGGCCATTATGACTTCTCAGCACGCGAATTGCTGATTAGTTGTTTGCACTCTTGACTCCTTCGAAGATTCCCATGGATAAACCTTGGTTAAGGAACTATCGAATGATCATAGACATTAGTTTCGTAACTTTCTACTCTTTTGAGTGAATCGTGGATTCGTGGCAGCGTTCTCATCTCATCTTCCTTCCCGGCGATCATCTGTCACCTCACATGGTCACCCTGCTGGATACCTAGGAGGAAAGTCCGAATGTAGCTCATATACTCTTACTGGTAGCAAAACATGCTTGCATGTGTAAACCTTATTGAAGTTCATTTAATGTATCTTAACTTGTCCCGTCGGAAATTCCATTATCAAGCTCGTTATCCCTCGTTGCCCCCTTGTCTCGTTTGTTTTGTTTCGTTACAATTTACCTCTCGTGAATTTTATATTGGCTGAACATCTCTCCCCGGAAAGAGGAAGATACCCCCTGGTTTGTTCCCGCGGGGAGGAGTTTGTCGCTACTCCGTAGACCGTTATCAAGCACCGCAATAACACTATCCCAGACCCATCAGATCTTGAATACGAATGAATAGATACCATACGGTAAGAAGTCTCGTGCTGTGACAACACCGCTTACGTGATTGCCCATGACCTGTATTGTGTTACTGCTTCTACTTGTTACAATATCAAAATACTCTCTCTGCGAGTTGCCTAGGTATCAAAATGTCAGATGTACATTAACCACACAATCAGATGAACCATGAACCACTAATAGCTTTAGCCTACCAGTCTCCTAAATTCCTAATGTTCTTCCTTTTTCTCGCAAACTTACCATATTCCAACAGCATAGGTCTCCACACCCAAAACTAATGTCGATTAGACTCGCAAGCGTCGCATCCATTCATCCACCGATCCATTCATCCCTTCACTCCACTATTTTAACATTTCGGTCTCGCATCTCGATCTTAGTCTCTGGCACTTTTCATCTTTCTACCCACGTATATCCGCTTCAATTTCACTCACAGGGCACTGACTGGTACCAACTATACCCAGGTACACATCGCTTGAAATCCCACGCTGCCATGCCATCCCACGTGTGCGGCTCGGTCTAATTGCCCTTCCATCCAAGCTTCCTCGCTTCGCTCGCACCAGAAATGTTCATTAGTCTTACATTGGTGACCCCATCTCGAGCCCCTTTCAACCAATCGCAACTTCTGAAACCGGTTCACACCCAATTCAAACTTCGCGATTATTTCCCAATAGAGTAATTCTGCTTTCGATTTCGAGACTGCCTAATACTATCGCCGCATCGTACGTGCACAAACCGTAACCGCAACCGCAACCCAATACCTACTAAGCTAAGCAAATTTACCATACCGTCCCTGGCGTCCCATGGCGTCCCATGGCCATGAAGTGAGTGACATTTGTACCCTTTTGATTGAAGTATTCATTACATTTGAGAAAATAAAATAAATAATAATAAGAATAATGACAATAATACCAGCTGCCATGTAATAATAATCTACTTATCCCCACCGATCGATCATCCTTTCTTGAAGATCTTCTTAAGCTTATTACTTCCTTCCTATCATTATTTATTTACTTTGGATTTGAAGGCTTCACATTTTTATAAGAATGGATGCTTTTCCTGTCGGTGTTTCATTCAAATCTACGTTGGCATCTTTTATATGAAACGAGTGTCGGGAGTTCAACCACATTAAGCAAATTAAACTTCAACTTCATTCATCGCTCGCTTGGAATTTACATTGTTCAAGTAATATTCAAGAGTCGAATTCCCATAATATATCGATCTCGGAAAATTTGTCATTTCTCATCAAAGCATTCTTGGGATTTAATTTGCTTTTTCTTCATCATCATATTCATCATCATTATCATCGTCAGACCACGACATCGAATACAACGGCCTGCTAGCATTTTGGGGAAAAGAAGTCCATGACAATTTCACGATTCAAGGCCCAAATTATATTCCCATCTTCATATCAGAGCGTCTAAATGGTGACCACGATCCACACTCGAATCTTTCGCCATAGTCACAGTCAAGGACACGATATAAAGCCTTCAGTTAGTCATCAGTCGAGAAGAACAGAACGAGAGAGTTCGTTACCCAGAAGAATGGATAGGGAAAGCTCCCTTCCACCAACTACATGTAGTAGAGGTCACACACATCCCCCCTGGAATACGACGGGTGTATTGAGGATAGCGAAATGCGAAAGTGTTTGTGGATTTTGTATGAAAGAAACGGATACAGCTGCAAAATTGAGGAAACACGTTTCTGTTCATATCAAAAACGAAGGACTTAATTTGACGATAGCGGAGGCAGCTAGTGGAAGAGGAAGATTGTAAGAGTTTCTATTTTGGGGGATTTTTCTCCCCTGATTATTTATGCACAGGGAAATTGTACATCATTTGCTAACCAATCGTATAGGGAAGTACCAACTCACAAATCTTCACATGAAAGATCAGGATCCACGTCACATTACTCATCACATGGCAATATCACACCACTGGAGGACGAACATCCCCAACTCATATACTCATCACACACACCTTCTTATTCATCTTACTCCTCAGTATCTCTTACTCCCTCATCCTCACCCTATACAAGTATAGCTCAACGACCCCTAACAACATCCACCTCGAGCTACGATTCATACTCCTCTCATCGATCCCCATCCAGTACCAGCGGGCTATCCTACTCCACCATCCCAAGTCCAAACAGTACCTCAGCCCTCTCCAACTATCGCTCCCTAGCCCAAGGCTCAGCACACGCCCTCTCCGATCCCTTCTCCTCGCTTCGCTCTCATGCTCTCCGTACAAAATTCGAATGGACCGTCATCACTCCCTCGGAAGGTTTCGCCATCCTCGACTATTGCAAATCGTTATCGCAAGCTAGTGGTGAACAAGTCCCGTGCTATAACCGCGAAACGCTGTTTGATGAAGAGTGGCAAGCTCACATGAGAGATATTCACGGGGTGTATTTGATATGGCCAGAAACGTGGATGAAGCGGGTCGAGGTATTAGACTTAGAGGGGGTGGGAGGAAAGATCGAGGGAGTTAATGATTTAGTCATGGAAGGGAAAGCGATGGATAATTGGGGATTATTAGGGCACGAATAAAAATCGAGAGAGAATATTTATGATTACGTACCGGGTTTTAGGAGGGGAGAATTGGATGGGAAAAGCGATGGACAGGTACTGGATGGAATACCAGCATGGCATGCATGAATTATAGGGGATCATACGGAATTCAATTTCTTTGCAAACGCAAGCATGGAGTTTGGGGATAAGAATTGGAAAGGCCTGGTACGGGGAATGCATTAGAAAAGGGAAAGGTTACAAGGGAAAGAAAGCACCGGCATGCGCTGCAATTGTTACATCATGGTTTCCGTTCACTCGGATACATGGTTATTCTCACATCCATCACATCATATGGATACAAATATGAGGGTGAAATGAATATATGAATTCATTTACGAAATCCTTGATTAGATCCACTTAGTGCTTTAGACTAAGAATTTACCGATTTAATACCTATATACATCAGAGATGAACTTACACGCCGTCATACATGAGATGAGTATCTGTGTTTGCTTTGAGACTTCAGAACAGTAATTAAGCTATTGGGCATCAATCATATAATACTACTGTATTGCTCATGTTCCGAAAGATCATACTGGCGGTGCTGAACTACCATACCAGTACCTAGGTATACAATGACAATCATGATACACATCCGATGAAACACAACAACCATAAATATCATGAATAAAAATTGAATAAAAGTTCTCCATTCCACCAATCCGACCCTCTCCCCACGCCCTCAATAAAATATTGAATAATGAAATATGCAACAAAACTTTTCCAATGCGTAGAATTCACTCTGGAAATTTCTCTTTCGTCCCCAAGTCTAGATCACCCAGGTCTAGACATCAATCTCAGATCATGCGTGCATCTGAAATGATCAAAATGATCCAAAAAAATATTCGTTTCCTCATTACTTCATAATTCCATAGGTATAGTAATGTACAGGCAATGCTCTAGTATTTCCCCCCCCCCAACTCGTTTAACCCATCCATAATCATAAAACCACCTATCTACCTACATGTACAAACTAGCCACAGCAGTAATATCCCTCTTGATGATCTCTTGACAGGTTTGCATTTTTTGAAACAACTCAGGATCACCAATGATTCTAGCCGCATTTCTGACCTCCCTGCAAGTCTCATCTAATCTCGTGATGACTCTCACAATTGTACCTTCAAGTACATCTGTCAGCATTGTAATATTCTTGAAACTCATTCCGCGTGCCCATTCATATACGACTTCCATGAGTCCAAAACGCTCAGGATGAGCTTCAAAATCATTGGATTCGGATGTTGGTTGAATAACTTGATGTAATATTTGCATATCTGTTATCTTTTTTGAGAGTTCAAAGATTTTGATTTTGCCGGATTCTAAGGAACTGGGGAGAGTTGGGACGATAGTTGTTTTTTCTTGGAAAATAAAGGCGCTAAGAAGAGAGACGATTTCTTCTGGCGTATATGCTGATAGTACGTTGTCAAGAATCAGTTCTGTCAGGATTAATTCATCTGCGGAGTGTATCTCGCAAGCGACCTTTCCCTTGAGTTGAACGCGAGAAGCGTCATCGATAAAGTCTAGATCTTTGAGGACTTGGATTCGTTGTTCGTAATCAGGCAACAGTTGAAGATTGTTGTCAGACATAAGTTGGCGAAGTTGAATGATATTGGCTTGGATTAGCCATTGATCATGACACATTGCGAACTGAGGGTAAGTTTATTAGTACATGTTATATGATCCAAGGATTCGAAGGGGCACCTACATGTTTCAAAAATGAAGGACATTTTAAGCAATTAGCTTCTTGGGTGATGGTAGCTTGTTCCGAACGCTTTACAAGATTTTCCCTCAATTGGAGAACCTTGATCTTGGACCAGTCCAGTTCATCCCATACATCACTTTCCCACGATGAACAAAGATTGAAGAGAATCTGTTTTGCACTCTCATAAAGTTCCCCACCTTTGTATATGTCAGGAACTACTCCCTTCACAATCGTATTCGTGACGCACTCCAAATCATTAACAGAAACGTAACAAGTCTTGGTGGAAATGTGCTTCTTGAGATTAGGAAGTTTGGTAAACATTCCTCGAAACTTAGGTACGAACGGCAACAAATCAGTGGTATCCCATTGATCTCGTCTTGTTCTGATTTCGAGAATATGGACAGATAGGCCATTCACGTCTGTAGCACCGTCACGAACAAGAATACCAGGTGTGCGAACACCATCCTTGTGGTAAACTACCAGACGACCCTTGATAAACATTCGACGACCAATAGCAGTTGATAGTGATCCTATATGAACATCGCGAGTCAGTTGCTTATAAGTCTGAGTTGCTTCATGATAAGTATCTAAATCTTGTTCACAAATATCGCAAGGTTCTCTGGTGATCTTGGCCAGGTCTGCTTCGGATATTTTGACCGCCTTTTCATGCTCAGGTAGAAGTTGTTGGGTAGCATGTTCACTAAAACTTCTTTTGATCATCTCCTCAATTTTCAAAGCCTCAACTCGCAAAAGATTAAGTATCATATTGTAGGTCAACCTGAATTGAGAACGAAGTTTTGACGGTTCTCCGAGTATCATTTGTCGAAGTTCAGTAACGGGTGGAGCTTCACCACCTCCCGGCGCAACGATTATAACCGAACCCACAGGATCTAATCCACGACGACCTGCTCTACCAGCCATTTGAGTATATTCTCCAGGCAATAAATCACGGAAGGATTGTCCATCATGCTTGCGATATCCAGAAAAGACAACTGTTCGAGTTGGCAAATTCAATCCCATAGCAAATGTTTCTGTGGCGAAAAGCACTTTCACCAAAGTTTGTGCGAATAACATCTCAACAATTTCTTTCACAATAGGTAGCAGACCACCATGGTGAACAGCAATACCTCGCCCAAGTAAATCTCGTAATCGAATGATTTGTGGCAATTGCCGGTCTTCTGGTTTGAGCCGAGCAATAGATTTCTCAATTGTCATGTGTATCGCACTCTTTTCTGTCGCTGTGCAGAAGTCTTGATTACTCAATGCATCTGCATTCTCTTCGCATCTCTTTTTGGAGAAGACAAAAATACATGTTGGGAGTAAGTTTTCTTTTTTAAGAAATTGAACTAGGTGTACCCATAATGTCTTGTCTTGGGCAGCTGTTGTTCGACCTCCAGGTCTACCACCACGTCCCATATGCCCTGGATTATGACTAGCACGGGGTGGTCCACTACCACCACGACCGCCTCTCTGTTGTGCTCCTCCGCGTTGTTGACCACCGCCACGTTGTGCACTACCACGCGCATTCTGACCTTGACCTCTACCTCTTTGGTTTCCTCCTCCACGAGCATTTGAGGAGTCTGGCGGAGGTAGAGCCTTTACCTTATCTCTTCCAGATAGTACATCGTTTGCGGACTTCCAACCCTTCTCGATGAACTTCTTTTCCGCATCCACAATCTTGTGAATCCCTTTATCTGCCCAAAGGTAATGTTCTAGTGGAACTGGTCTCTTTGGAGTTGAGATGACATAAATGTCTTTCTTTTTAGTTCTTCCAACCCAGGATGCAAATTCGTAGGTGTTAGGGACAGTTGCGGACAGCAAAATCAATGTTACATGTTCTGGTAACATAATGATAACTTCTTCCCAGACCACTCCTCTCTCTAAATCATTAACGTAATGTACTTCATCGAAAATAACAAATTCCACATCTCTGATTAAATCAGCTCCCCTGTAAAGCATACTTCTTAAAATCTCTGTGGTCATGATAAGACAACTCGCCTCAGGATTGATCTGCACATCTCCCGTGAGAATACCAACTTCGTCGAAAACTTGTCGGAAATCTCGGAATTTCTGATTGCTCAATGCTTTGATTGGTGATGTATAAATTGCCTTGGTCATATGCTTGGCGGCAAGAGCAATAGCATATTCTGCTACTACTGTTTTACCTGCCGATGTATGAGCAGCAACAAAAACTGAATCTCCGCTTTCCAAATGATAAACTGCTTCCTTTTGAAACGTATCCAGTTCGAATGGCCAATCTCTTGCCATGTCCGGAACTAATTCTCTGAAATTTGGAATGTCTCTCTTGACATCAACCATATGTGCCCATTCTTTTCCACTTCTCTTCGCGCTTGAGGCTGCTAGTGCACCGTGGGGCTCTAGTGCCGGATACTCGACTGGCAACATTGAATCAATATCATCTTCTTCTTCGTCTGAGCTTTCCGAAGTAGCTTCATCCTTTATGGCGCCATCTGCTCCATTTGCAGACACTTCCTCAACGGGTTCTTCCTCTAGGACATTCTTTACGTCTTCAGCCTCTTTCTCATCAACTTCTCCCTTCTTCTCAAACTTTAGCCCCCTAGTAAACCCTGGTGGTACGCTTAATAGCCCATCCTCACCACCAAAGTTTATGATTTTTTCCAGATTCTTTTTTTCAGGTACTGCATCATTGATTTTACCGGCCTGTTCATCCAAAGCAGCCGCAGCCACTACAGCATCTAATCCCCCAGGCGCGAATGGAAAGAAACCTGCTGCACCTCTGACAAAATCTGCCTTATTTGCTGGTTTTCTCATAAAAGACGTAGAGTTTTTAGCAGTCGCACTGTTTGCTGGTACTGTAACTTCCTTATAACCTGTAACCCGGCCTTCTAAACCTTCTCTTGTGAACCGTGTGATTGTACGTGTTTGAGTTGGGGCGAGTTGAAAAAGGTCTGTATAATTTGCTGGTGAGTCCCAGCGCCTGAATGAAAATAGATGTTAATAATGCCCCAAGAAGCTGCCCATGCTTTTTATCTCGCGCATCTTGTCATACAGACAGATGTACCGCGACCCCAGTATGAAGGTTATGAAGGAAGAATAAGACTTACTGTTGAAGCTTATTTAACCATTCTGTAGAAAATGTTGTTGATGGCGTCAGGTACTTCTGTTCAAGCTCCTGTTTAAGCTCGTCGCGATTTTGCTTGATGCGTTTTGGTGGACGTTGCTCATCGAGTATACTGTCAATCCAGTCATCCTGTGTTTCGAGATCAAGATGATCTAAAGCTGCGATTAAACCTTCTGCCATGGTTAACTGACAGATCTTCCACAGATCTTGGAAGTGCTGTGTAAAGTACCGGTAGGTAGCTCTTGAAGCTGCAGCTTCTCAGGTACGTGCTTTACAAAATTATGGTGGGGGTGGGGTTCTTGGGCTTTTGGGCTCTGCACTTCACCAGCGAAAAAGGTTGAGTGATAGTGTATTTATTATCTTAATTTGGGAATCTAGAGCATTTCGAACAATTCCTTTTTGAGTTCAAAGACGATGTGTTTTACAATCTCTGTTATGTTTGACATTTCTATACAATTCAACCTAATCGGCTCGATGACATAGCCAATTGTTCACCACATAAGACCCACCATTGTCAATCACTTCAATTAACATCATACAATCGAGTGATTTAGTAGGCTACTTAGACTATGAAGAGCATCATCTCATTGGAATATAATTCCGAATTAAAAAGTTTCATACAAAATAGTTCACCCCAACGCCTCATAATGCTGCCATTGTACACCCTAACGCCAGCCGCAACCTGTTTACCATCCCCCATCCATATCCATCATAGCTTCCATAGCATCCAAATCATCATCTTCCGCTTGTTTAGATTTTCCTGTATCTTGTTTTGCAGGTCGACTAGGATGTGTATTATCGTTATCTCCGGCAAGCAACGCTTCGAGATCTTCATCTAACATTTCCTCATCGCCCCCTTCCTGTTCTGCTTCTGCAAGTAATGCCTCCAGATCATCGTCTGGCGGTCCATCATCCCCAGCTGTGGTAACTTTCGGAGGACCAAATATACTATCGTTACCACCACCAAAGACTGAAGTAGACTGTATAGCTGGGTTTTGTCGCGCATTCTTCGGAGTAGAATCATACATATCATCGAAGTCCGGATCTTGATTTGGAACTGGTGTTTTGGGTCTTTCACTTGCTGCATTTTCGAATATCGGTGCTATCCTCGAGACTGTTTTCTCTCGTTCATTTTCATCGCGTGGAGGAAGTTCTGGTTCATCAAATAGGGAATCTTCATGGACCGATGACTTAGCTTTCCCCTCATTGATCCAGTCCATTCTCGCAGATTGTATCATTTTTTTGTGACCCAGCTTTTCCACCATAGCTAATGCGTCACCAAATTTGGCTTTTGGGAATAGATCATCGAGCCAAAGTTGGTAGAACGCAAGGAGACGAGCTGCATCTGAATACTATATTTCTGTAAGTATAAAGCTTATATTCACAAAATTGTTACAATCTATACCTCATGGCCTTTACCCTTAAACTTCAAATGATCTGCCGCTTTTTTCCGTAGTTTTGGTATTCCTGCAGAAGACAAAAGTCTTCAAATCTATGTCAGTATCTCCAAGTCCATTCATCAGACAAATTGGACATACTTGTGCTCATCAAGTTTCACTCTAGGGACTCTAGGCTTTTTGGTAACCTGAATTTCTTCATCAATGCCAAGTCCTGCACCGCTTTTGGTATTGCTTTCTGAGGTCTTGGTTGTTTCTTTTTCTTTACTCCCAGGAACCACGTAATTGTCGCTGAAAGGATCATTTGCATCTCCAGCATCGTAATCGAAAAGGTCATCTAGATCATCGAATTCATTCCCACCGGCATTGGGCGTCTCGGTGGGAAGAGGCCTTGGTGGTGGAGAGTCCATTGTATAAGTAGACCAATGATCAAAAGCCAGTAAGCTTTCGTTTTCTTAGAATTTAAATATAACCTAAATTCACACAGAAAACCAAAATTCGTTGTACCAAACGCGTCCACTATAAGGGAAGACGCGACGGATTGTAAGGCATAAATCAATTTAAATCAGGCAGAAATATACTGACCTGGCCCATGCACAATTTAGCGTTTCGATATCGAACCTCCATCAAGAATTGACCTCACCAGTGCGTTGAATCCCAATTGTAAGCAATTGGCATATTTCAAAATGTCGAATACCGAACAAAGGCCATTTGTGCCTTCAAAGAAAATCAACACCGAGTATCCTGTAAGTTCTCGTCACTTTGCTGCCGAAGTTTACGCAAGAAACACACAAGCTAACTGCTCCCAAGCTCATCGACAGTGACCCGTACGTTCCATAAACCCCGCCAGTGATATCGCGAAGAGGGGAAAAATACTGATACGTATCATACAGACATATCAAAAGAGTACTTGGCTATGCAAGACCATCGGACTATGCGGTCGGAGCAGCGACGGCTACCGCAGGACCGGGTTTGATGTTGTTGTGGGAACGAATTTCACCTTCACTCGTTGGAAAAGGAGGGTTTGCTCCAATCATGCGATTATCGGGAGTTATTGGTGTTGGAGCTGGTTTCTTTATGTTTTACCAACGCTCTATACGTATGTATTTAGATCAATCTGCTTTCTCCGCTTCATTCCCCCGCCTTCATCTGAACTCGTTCAAATGTGCTAATTCATAATAACAGTAAGATTCTACGGTTTCACGGAAAATAAGCGTGAGCAAGAAATGGATATGAGAGAAATGGTGAACAAAGTTAAGAAGGGAGAGTCTTTATATGGGGAAAGCTCAACTACACCATATATCCAGGGAGTCGCATCGAGGAATTCAAGATATGCAGGAGTCTGGATGCATGTTATGCCTTGGTTTAACATGGTAAACCACAATCAGCATGGAGTTGACACAGCCAAGTATTATCAACAAGCCGAGAGAGAGTTGGAGGCTGAGAGCTCGGGAAAGAAATTGTCAAACTAGAAGTGCGAATTGTGATGAAGCGGCGCTTAGGGAAAATATCTTTTGGGGGTGGAATCGAACAACTCGAAAAGGGCGACTGTAAATAGGGGAACTGGAATGATGCGCTTAAATTTTCTGTCGCGAGCCTGAGTTGTGAAATTGTGAGTGTTTTACATGACGTCTATATATTCAATTTTTGCGTAATGTGAATTATGTCTTTCCCTAATATACTACCCGGAGTATATCTCGACTGTCTATTGCATCCAAACCATACATCGCCTATCTTCGATCTTTTGGAAGCCACTCAGTAGACCAAAATATCTCAGATTTAACCCGTTTCATCACCCTTTACTCTCGAATCTATTATTGGTTCCACCTCTAATTTCAATATCCTCTCTTTCTTGTTTCTGGGTTCGGGCGCTGTTGCAAATCAGCTTTGAGGTCTTCAAAAGAATAGAAATAAAATCAGAATACCTACCTCTTCCATTCTCTTGGACATAAAATCTCCTCAAAATAACAATAGCTTCTTCTCGCAACCACCCACCACTAACTTCATAATCACCTTCATGTTTCTCCGTTCTTTCTTCCTCGACTGTCTGATTCGTGCCATCTTTTGCTTCATCTTCGGCGGCGTCATTGCTATCAAATTTTCCGTTCCCAACATGAATATTTAAAACTCCACCATTCCCTCCAAATTTATCATTTACCGCCCCATACCATACTTTTCGTATTCCAAATTGTTGTAATAATGATGCACACATTATACAAGGTTCTATCGTGACATATAGATCCAAATTTTTCAAATCTTCCGGCCCATACCCACGCTTTGAATTTTCTCTCCCATCCCCTTTTTCGTCGTTGCTCTCATTTTCATTCTCCTCCCTCTTTCTTTTCGCGCTCCTACTTTCATCCGCGTCGCCACGTGCAACATTGGGAATCGAAGACAGCAATTCGTCAATAGCAATAAATTCTGCATGTCTTGTCCCATTATAACTCCTGTTGGTGGCATTCATTCCTCTAGCTACGACCTTCTTGAGGATCGGATCAACTAGTACACAACCTACGGGGGTCTCATTGGTGTTCAGAGCGAGATTTGCCTAGAAATATGTCAACATTGATGCTAACCAAATAGATGACTAGATTAATTACCATAGCAAGAGCTTCACGCATGAAAAATATATGTGTATCTATTTCATCTTGAGTCATAGATTTTGCATCGGGTGGAAAATTTATCTGCGATGATACTTTCGTATCAGAGATTGTATCTGAATTTATCATTGAAGAGTCCATAGTTCTGGATTGAGCACTTGCTCTCTTGACTTCCAGTGGGCAGAGAAAAACTTCTCAGTGATGAGGAAGAGAATCCCGTGACGAGCGCAGGACTAAAATTTCGGGTCACATGATTAAGGTTGGTCTAAAAGACTTGCTCTAAATGCTTTCGCTTACTACCTCAAGCTGTCACCAGAAAATGTATTATAAAATGTTGACATCACTATTGGTCCTTTGTAATTTCTCGAAAGATGTCAATATACGCCTAATCGAAGAGATCAAAGAGTTGTGATCACAAGGAGAAGCATAATTTTTCAAAATTCGGAGATCGAGGCATTGATCAAACCCTAAAACTACCTAGGCGATGATAGAGGAATATCATAATTTAAATCTGATAGGTGCTTTCAAGACTTCGAACCTATAAACACTCGTTAAACTATTAATTATCGAAAGTCAAAGTTTGATAATCTTGATCAGCGAAAGATCAATTCGGTTGTCAACCTTATCTAAGACATAATACAATTGGAGATGATTCAAACTTTCAATAACCTTCACTAATACTTCGATAATGAATTAAGTTAAATCCAGTTTTTCAAAACAAGGGACACTGTTTCAATGGAAGCAGATAGGAATCGATAATTGCTAAAGATATAGGTTTGTGTATTGATATTTTACAATTAACCAAAGAAACCTATTGTTTCAAGATTTTCATCTTGCTATTTAAGGTTTTGGTTGATTGTTCGTCTCCGGCCGCCTGGCAATGGGCATTTTTTACCGAGAAAGTCTTCGACCCTCTCTTCCTACAACACTTCACTTGCGAGACTACCCCCTATTTATGGTTCCTTTCTATGAAGTCTGATTGAGTCTCACTCCTGCGATCTACGGGGGATAAGCTATTAATGCGCTTTATGTTTGGAAGCAACGCTATCAATAGCCCAGTCCAGTCTTTACGCTGGATTCCATGTCAGCTTGATTCGAAACTGAGAGTCTCTCCATTCTTGCATTGGAAGTAGTCTGAGACCTTTCACCATTAGTCTAGAAGCTTTGATCCCTTATCTTTCTCGTCCTAAAGTGGCTCAAAAGTCGTTGTAGTGCTGTCGAAGTCAATTGTCTCGTATTCGGACATCTTCTCTTCCTTGGAAGGTTCATGTCAACAAGTGTTCTGAGCCGTCTTGAAACATATATCAGTATATATAAGAGGAGACATGACGCATCGTATCTCATTTTGATCATTAGCAACATCTTCATCTTCAAGTGAAAGTCTTCCGCATACCATATCAGAGGGGTATCCAACGACTTCTTGCATTAACCACAATACTCACTTAATCAACTTTTTAAGACACAAATATATTCTCATAACCAAGCCAAAAATGCATTTCACCAAGCCGGCTCTCGTCGCTGCTTCTTTCTTATGGGCTACCACCTTTGCCTCTCCCATTAACTCGTGAGTCTAGTCCCCCTAAGAAACACTCAGTCTTGAATCATTGCATCTCTCGCGCCTCCAATCCTATTCTTTCATGAAATTTATATTTTATCCTCTTATCTTGAAAGCTAACATTCAATTTTCAGTCCAACCAGACTCAGAACTAGAGGACTCATCGGTGGCTCCACATCCGATGATAACACAAAAAGTATTGCAGGAAGTACCACTGCCGGCAATGCTGTAGGAAGCGACGATACAAAAAATGCTTCAGGAAACAATGCTGTCGAGGATGCTGTAGGAAGTCTCAATTTAGACGATATTACAGGAGGCCTTAGTGCCCGAGATGACGACGAGGATGTAGAAAGAAATATTTTCGACGATCCGCAGCATCTTATCGACGGTGTTTCTTTCAGTAATACAAGGCGTGGTATTGTCGGCGACAATGCAGGAGGTCTTACTGCCCGCGATGTTTTAGGGCGTCATCATGGCCATAAGAGTCAAGAAGGCGAGATTGTCGACGATGCACTTAATATTGCCGACGATGCTACACCAGGTGGTATTTTTGGCCGTACTACAAGGCGTGAAATTGGCAGCGATGATGCGGGAAGTCTTACTGACCGCAATGCTTTACGGCATCATCATGATCATCATAGCCACAATGGTGAAGAAGGTAGTCTTTTCGGCGGTTCAGGAGGTGGTAATCGTGCCGGCTTGATAGTTATCAAATCCGGTATTGGGAGGCGTGGTGTTGTCGGCGATGATGCGGGAGGTCCCACTGCCCGCGATGTCTTAGGACATCATCGTACTCATAATGGTGAAGGAAACATTATTGCCAACGATGCAGTTGATGGTGCCCAAGAAACTACAAGAGGTGATGATTTGACCGACGCCCCACGCGGTACCGTTGAAGATGCTGTGGAAGATGATACAGCAGGGCCTGGATTTCTTACTGGTCTTCTGAGGCGTCTTGTTCTCCGCGATAATGACGGCGCTGTACATGATGCCAATAAAGCTGTACACCAGGCCAACGAGATTGTACATAATACCCTGCATGGGTTGCTCCACGGAATCCTACGCTGAGCTGAGAATTCCGATTAGCAAAAGATTTTTTTGGTGGCTTGGATACTAGTTTTGTTTCGAACAAGATGTTAGACGTTTTTTGGGAAGCTATTTGGATACACTTGTTGGCCAGGTCATGAAGATTCCTGCGTGGATCGTTTCGTCGCTATTATCTTTGTCGTGCACTTTTCTAGTTCAGCGGATCTATTATACACGTATCAATAGTTCATTTTATACACAATACACAATACACGAACAAGAATTTATAAATTTTCAATCCTGATTTGATTTCTGTTATTTATTATACTGCTTTTATGCCATGCAAACTCCAAACATAGCCCATCAAACCTATCTATGTGTTATGTTTCTGAATTAGCTCTCGGTCTAAGCTAAAGTGATAATCTGCTTACGCTTCTCCTGAATAATTACAACATCAAATTTTAGATTTCGGGATCTTGTTTTCCTTCTGGATGATCAAGAATCTCTGGAATTGTCTCGAATTGTCGCTTTTCGGGTTATCTTCTCCCTCTCATGTTGCATCGACAACTAAGAACAGACAACCTCAACTCTGCTTTTACATTACATTCAGAACTTTGGCTAAGACTCTGAGTATACAAACAACACTTGAAGAGAAGACTGATCTTCTCAACTCAAACATGGGGTCACAACATGCAATTCCACTTTCTCCCTCAATTTGTAAACCAGCGCATAAGAGTGCTCAAATTGGCGCCTTTTCATATTATAAAAGCTTCATTAGGTGCTGTCTTCTAGGTTCTAACTTGCCTGATAATAACGTATTTATCGCGAAGATCGGTAGCTTCCCAGAAGGGGTGAAATATTAATGGTAAGTTGGTCAATTGACTACCTGTGAACAAAGAACATATGTTTAATTCTCATTGATGGTGGCTATGTGCTTTTTATCCGCTGAAATACCATCAAGCCCGTCTTAATTTACTCTTGCCCGATCTTTAATCGTTCTTGTATGCTTCTATGCTTCCATAATTTATTCGTGATGTTTACACCGTCTCTACGTAGGAGAAAAAAGAGGCCGATTTTGACCATATAAATCTTTAATGAAATCTCTGAATTAATTGAATTATAAATCAACCACAAATAAAACAAATAAATCTGAAAATATCAAACTACTTTCCACCTTTTAATTATACTAATTCTTATCAAAGTTTATATTTTATTTTAGATTTAAGAAGAAGAATTTGGTTATTGAGGGTATTAAAAAGTGATCAAAACCGGCCTCTTTTTTCTCCTACGTAGAGATCGTTCCAACAAGTACTCACGTGACCATGACATAAGTCGTGACTCACATCCCGGAACATCAACGCTTCGTACATCCAAATTGAGTTCGTGCAAAGTTGCAAATTCCAAGACATGTCTCTTGCCAGAAGACCCAAAGAAAAGAAGTCGGTCAAAGGCTGCTGGACGTGTAAAAGTAAGCACACATCTCCAACCATTTTCTCAATCCCCGTAATTGCCCCGCCTTCCAATGTAACCCCCACATTGATGTTGACGATCTAACGGTTCATGAAGGCAGGAAAATTGGATGCGACAAAGGCATTCCTCATTGCAATAATTGCAAAAGAACTGATCGATTTTGTGAAGGTTATGGTGTAAAACTTCATTGGCCTGAATCGGGTGATGGACGGAGACCGGTTCATTCTTGGGAGAATGAAGCTCATCTACCTCAACAAACTTTTCTGGCTTTCCCGGCACGTGAAAAATATCAATTTCTAAATTCGACTTTCGTTGACGTAAAGATTGCATCCGGCTATCAGCAGGAATGCTATTCAACACATCGGTATATGACAAGCCCTCAAAGAAGCCTGAAGTATGGATATGAAACTACTCTTGGGTCACGGGATGCGACATTATTATCTTACTGTAAGACAAGGGAACTCTCCACATAATGGAAATATATTGACAAGCTCATAGATACAGAGGTTTTGTCTCGCATGATTACTACTATTGATGATAGTCTAAATGGGTTTCGGAATTACCTACTCCCGAATGCGCTTGCAGACCGATACCTTTCATGTCTGAGTCTTCGATATGCTATCCTTGCAGTATCAGCATATCATTTATGGGGGGCCGAAGCTGCAGTACAATACAAAGTTTCTGCTATACGACTCTTATCACAATCTATTCAGAGAGGAGATGGTGGACTTCGAGGGCAATTTGCTACTTGTATGATGCTTTGTGTGGGCGATGTAAGTATATCTAAGCTCCAACCACTAAAAGCTTACATCTTTTAACTTCCGGATAGGTTTTTGATGGGGCCGATGGAAGCTGGCCTACGCATTTAAAGGCAGCAAGGGATATTGGCTTGAGAATGACGAAAGATCATTTCTTGAACACTTGGCTTTTATATCATGATGTCCTAGCAGATTTTAGCCATGGGAGGCGGCAGAGACAATTTCTAAATAGTACATTTTTGGGAGCTCCGAGTGCAAACCCCGAGAACAAAATCGTAAGTTTTGCGCGGGCATTGAAAGAAAGACGCTGATATTGGCAGATTATCGGTTCGCTAGGATGTTCTTTAGAAGTCCTCGAATGCATATCCTGTATCAATGAACTTTCTGGAATAACAGAAAGGCAAGGGGAATATCAAGATTTCGCCCGAGGACTAGTAAAACAACTCGAAAATGCTCATCAAATCTCGGCAATCATGGAAGATGACACTACCGGCAAGATTGATCAGATGAAAATAGAAAACACGGCTGAGCTTTACCGGCTGGGTGCCCTCATATATCTTCATTCAATACTATCAATACCTTCCGACTCCGATACAATACAAGATCTAGTTAATAAAGCTTTGGAAATTCTGACTAGGAACGGTATCTGTACAAGTCCATGGCCATTATTCATAGCGGCCTGTGAAGTTGTATCTGACGAGCAACGAATCCAAATCCTTGATGTCTTGGAAGATATGCAGAGTGAGAGGCGAATCAGAAATTTGGAGACAGTGAGAGGTATTATAGAAACAGTATGGAAGCAGATGGATTTAGCGGAAGGTAATGGCGCAAGCAAGAGAGTTGACTGGAGGAAATTGGTTGACATGCGGAAGCGAATACCTTCCTTCATCTGAGAATATAGAATAATTGTTGGCGACAATGTAAGATTATCAATACAGAGAATATCAACATAGAATAAAAATCCCATAATACTGTACCAACCTTTTCGATCCGATACTTCTTTCATACTGAACTAAGCGGAGGAACATTGACCTCGACCAATTCTTCTCCAATCCCTCTTCTCATAGCCTCCTCAAGAATAGCCTCGGTAGCAGTAGCACCAACTCTCGTGACTCCCAATGCCCTAACTCTTAACAAATCATCCAAAGTCCTCACTCCGCCAGCCGCCTTGATCTGTATACCTTTCTTTACATTCTCCCTCATCAGATCAAGATGTGGTAATGTGGCACCTTGATAATTGTACATCCCATTGCTTTGTTTCACAAATCCATATCCCGTACTAGTCTTCACAAATGCTACCCCAACCTCACTGCAAATATGACATAACTTCACAATCTCCGCGTCGGTTAGAAAATCGTTTCTGAAAATGACTTTCAAAATCGAACCCTTAGACACCACAGCCTCATTGATAGCTTGGATTTCTTTTTGAACATAATCCCAATCTCCCCCTAATGCTTTGCCAATGTTGATCACCATATCAATCTCTTTTCCGCCAGCTTCCGCGGCTTTAGTAGCCTCGAACACCTTGACTTCTGTAGTGCTATTTCCAGCAGGAAATCCAATCACGGGACATACATCGACACCAGTTCCTTTGAGGGCAGAGACGGCTTGTTCAACAGAATATGGTTTAACGCAAGCAGTTGCAACTTTGTATTTGGCGGCAATGGAAAGACCAGTGGCGATTTCGGTATCGGTCATGGTGGGGTGGAGGAGGGAATGATCAATCATTTTGGCTAGGATCGGAAGGGATACTGATACCGTAGGTGGAAATTTGATTGAGGTTGCCATATTTGAAGTCTTTGCGAATTAGATATTGGAATGTATATATTAGTTGCTGGAGGATAAAAACCAAGTATGTATAACACTGGTTGCTTTATCAAGTAAATCGGGGTGTAACGCTAGATTGGGCTAAGAGGTGGGGCTCTTTACCCAGAATCCAACGAAACGGCAAGAATGCACAACAAAAAGTTCAAACACAACTCTCGGTCCCGAAGATCGAAGATAATTTCAATACAGATTGCTTGTCTGATTAGAGTGATATACAGTCACATTTGAGCCGAGCACTTCCCTACACCGGCCTTGTTTGCGTATTTCCGGTTAAGGAACTTTAAGAGGCCATGTCTCACGCAAGCTCGACGAGGTGGTCGCAACCCCCAAGTTCTGGGTGAAGCAATGCTGCGCTGTTCGCCTCATGGAAGACAAAGATTGCACATTTGATTATGCTTGCGTTGTGTCTGGTAGTGGTGAAATAAATCAATTCCGTTGTCGAAGAGGTGCGCATTCTTGAAGTTCATGATCAATTGTGATTAGTGTTCGCATTCATCATCGACACATATCAATGTTTTCATACTGATGGGTTAGATAAGACGGCCGTTGTATGTCGTTCTGAACTTTGCCTTGAGTGCTTTCCTCCTTCCGATAGAAATCAAATTTGGGTGGCATTTATCTGAATTATCATTGCCTTAGGACATTGTTATGTGAAGGTTTGGCTTGTATCTCCCTCGTTCTATATATGAAAGTTGCTCCCCATGGACCTCAAAATCTCATCTGCGTTCTCTTCTTCTTCTTTTCTTATTCCAATGATTCACATACATTCTTTTCCATTCTTTGTCAGACGCTATACTTATCTACTCCAAAATATCAAGTCAATTTTTATTAAAGCCTAAGTCAAAATTCCAACACATTAGAATCAATTTTGAGTTGCTGCTCGCAAATTGCCCTTCAGGCTCTTTTCCTGAGCTTTTCACCTCCTCCTCAAGTCCTGCACTTCACTATGGCCAAGAAAAAGAACAGCAGTCGCCAAAAATCTCCTGAAGATGCTGCTAAGAGGCTCAAGGAAGAAAGATTGGCAATACTACATGCCGAAGTCAGGCAGGAAATGGTACAAAGACGTATATTGGCAGTCAATGAAATAGCAGCAAATGTAAGTCCAATCCGGCTTCATAAAATCGTTGGTTTCAATATCTACACATTATTCTTATCCAGTATCAAACCCTTTAGTCACTTGTGCAACCTTATTTGAGTTTTCTCAAGCCTTGAATCTTTTAGAAGGCTTCGCGCATTCCGATTGGATGTTCATATTGATCCAGACGTTTAGCATTATTTCAATGTTTAAAAATCTTACCATTTCTCTAACCTCACAGCGTACAAAATTGCACTTCCTTTCGTCAAAAGCAGTTGCTACAGGCCCTGTCGAAATTTTTGACCGACTCCTCATCGAGGTCATGCGTCAAATATTCAAGGAATTGACAGACATTGATTCTTTACACTCCTTAATCTCCACCTCTCGATCTTTCCATGAATGTTACATCAACGATCAATATCAATGTGAAGTATTCTGCAAAATGCTAGTCGATGAAATGACCCTTCCTATCTTCCTTCAAGCGGTTGCCATATCCAGCGATTCAGTACGCAGAATACGATGGACAGGCCACGTGCGCGAGTTTATGGACCAGTATTCCACGGATTCGAGAGCCACAACCTACGATGGAAGCAGTTATAATATGAGAACTCTGCTTTCAATTGCAGAGTTCCATTTGATAATAAAAGCTGTTGCTCGAGATTTTTTCGAATCTTGTTTGAATTTGCATCCGTGGACGCACGAGAAGTATGAGAAGAGCGAGTTAGGGAGGCATGAGGAGCTTCGAATACAACGGGCTTTCCATAATCTTGAGCTATACGTCCGTCTTTTTAAACGCGGCGATTATTATCTCATTGAGCAAACTTCGTTAAACGAGCGGTTACACGGAATAATCCGGGGGCGTCAAATTGTCGGTCAAGAAATTTATGAGGCGTTCTTTGATCATTTCAGCTTTTGGGAACTAGAGGAGATAGTCTCGGTAAAAGACTACATGGAAAGAGAATACAATGATGTTATCAACGAATGCAAAGATTTTTTGGCAAAAAGCTCCCAGGCTCAGCAATCCGGTTCTCCATCGACCTTAAAAAGAATACTTGAAGCGGGAAACATCAAGTTGGGCAGCTGCGATGATTTCAGGAAACATTATAACGAATTTAATCGAACTTTTATCAATAAGGGTGTTGAGTTCTTTTGGAAGGTTTGTAACCAAAATGGACCCAAGACGAAAATTCCTCTTATAGACATTCCAATACAACAAGACAAAATACTATTGTCTACTCAATTCACAAAGATAATGACGATTCACTACTATCTGATAGACCAGGCCTCGAATAATCAGCAAAGCCAAATTGAAACATCAGAATACCTTCGATTTCTGGACTGTTATGATCGCTCTCCCGAAAGCAGAGCGGGGCAACTCGATTTTCCAAGCGCCCCTTTCACATACAGCTTTATCAGATTTTTTATGATATCCCAAAAGTATTGCTTTCGGGACTGTTGGTCATCCTGGGGTTATTGTATGTGGGACACGGAACGACTATACCATATTCAAGATATCTTTTGGCCCACTGGCAACCCACTACGACTCAATCATGGTCCAAGGTCACGTTTGAGCTCTCGGGTTGTACTTTTACCAGCATTGTAAAGTTTGAATAGCGATGATGTTGTAGGCAACAAATCTTGTTAGACATCAGCGTATCTGTTTATTTTAGGTATCAAAATCAGCATTACCATTTAAACGTACATAATTTGTATTCTTCAATGTGCTAATTAAGTTCTGACAATCAAACGGTCGTTTATGCCCACAAAAGAAGGGCTTGCCAGAGCCACATTCTGCTGCGTTGACGAGTGATTTGATTCTTCATCTGCGAAGAAATTTTTCTTCCTTTCAGGACCGTTGATAGTCTAACTCGTTGGAATTCTGAATTTATTTTGAAAGTTGGAGCTCACATCTTATCTCTCACGTTGGGCTGTTAGGGGTTCATGGTCGCTTGTCACGATGAACTTGTGTTTGGAGAAACATGGTAGTGACTTATATACCATTTTATATATGGTCTACAATAAAAGGGGTATGCATGACTAGTGTTAATATAAAGCATGAAAGATGCAATCCATTGTTATGCGGAAATTTCACTAGGGCATAGGATTCCACGTGTTCCCACGTGGATTGGAAGATGGATGTACTTGAACTTTCACCGATTTGGAAAGGCCTGGTAGACTGGAGTCAACAGTTTGCTACATTTTGAAAACAGGCAAAGAGCACGTGTATTGAAGTTTTCGTGAGCGAAGTGATATACCCTCCTCAAGTGACAGAGATGAGTTGCGAGCTTTGACCCCGTGATTTGAATTTGTTGCCGAAAATGGAAGTTGCGACTCTAGCGCCATCAGAAATAAAGTCATTTGGTTTGAACTTTTCACTTTCGCTTTTCAATTTCGCAACATCCATCATCAGAGAACTTGTTTCGATTATCTTCAATGTTGTCTTGATTCGAGGATCCTTCAAGGAACTGAGAGTAACCTCATTGTTCTTCTACAATTTGATGAGGAAATTCAAATACTTTCTTTGATTCTTCTCTGCGCCGTCGTCAAATTCACCTTTGAGTATTTCTTTCTTTTGAAAGTCTCAAAGAAATATCAAATCACTATCATGGTAAACGGTGCCACTTCCTCATTCGTGCCCTCCTGGCCAAAGCAGCCGCATATCGATGGTGGATGCTTCTTGCCCAATGACGATGGCACAAGAACTCCTTATCCAAAAAAGCCCCCCCAGTCTGTTCTGGATATTGTCAAGGCCACCTATGGACAGACTTTCACGCTAAAGAATGCAAAAGACGTGAAGAGCGCGAGGTTTCATCTCTTTCCGAAGCTGCCATTTGAGTTGCGTAAGAGAGTTGTAAGTACATAGTTTGAGTCAATTGGATGATTATATTCAAATCATACAAAATGCGTCATTAAATTGCTTTTTGTTCTTAACCAAAATAACACAATCTCGATACTGATCATTTTGATTTAGTGGTGGTACTCCTTACCAGGGGCCCGTGTGATTGAATTTTACTGCGTCGAAGGGAAATTCTGGACGGAAGAAGAACAGCCTATTGCACTTTATGTGTGTCAAGAATCCAGGAAAACGGCCCTCGAAGTCTACAAATTACTCAATTTCGAGCCTGAACGTACAACGGAAATCACTTACTTTGACTACGAACTCGATATACTATATCTGGGTGTCGGAAATATCTCAAACTGTCAATTTCTGTTGGTCGAAATGCTACGACGTGGAATTAAGCGAGGAGACTTGGAACTAGTTCAGAATGTCGCGATTGACAACGACCTTTTCAGTCAGCTACTTTGGGTCGAATTCAAACCTTATCTCCACCTACAATCTTCAAGAGATGATTGCCTCCATCTTGGCAGCTTATTTCCTGCCTTACATTCGCTGACTTCGGTCGTGATACCTTCTGCAACTATGCCTCTGATTTATCAGCTCAGGTCTTGGAACGATTCTGTGGATATTATAATTGCTAATGATGGTGATTCTGGTAAAGAATTTCGGCCGTGGATGGTAGAGAACAACGGAGATCTTCTCTCGTTGACAATTCCTCTTGGACGAGCGACTTGGGAGGTTCAAATATCCGATGCTTGGAGGTACATTGAGCTTCATGGTCCAACGGATACAACTCTACGCATTGTTTCTTTAGACCGATTAGAAAAAGACACGAAGTGGAGAACCCGAAGGGATTATCTGAATAGTTTGATCTACTTCGGCGGCCATATGTGCTTGTTTGAGGTCACCGAAGAGCTTCGGAGACTCCTTCATCTACGTGAGAATGATCAAAATCTATATCGAGCAGTCGGGCACGTTCTTGCGCGAAGCTTTTATTGTGAGGGATCATTGGAGCGCTTGACAAAGATTGATCCAGACGCATTTGTTGATCCAATTGTAACATATGTGCGGACAAGATATTGCGATTGTCAATCTGAGCATGTAAATACTTGGGCAACACCCTGGTCATCTTGTAGAACAGATCGGTTCTTTCTTACGGATGAGGGATTTGATATTCTAGAAGAGATGCGGAAGATACATACCCTTGACATCATGAGTGACACGAGCCTTGGCGAAAAGAGGATGTCCAAATGGTGGTCTAAACGCGATGTACTGATCTTTCCAGCTGGTCGAGATACCTCGCTGACTCGGCACCTCTCAATGTAGAGTTGTAGTTCATTCAAGATAATTCACAACAATTCAAAATCTTGTAGTGGCAGATTGATTGCACTTCTTAAAGAGGTTCACATGTATGAAGCTAGGTTAAATATCTCAGAATGTGAGCATTTAATTGGCAACAGGTGGCAATACTAATCTTCAACTTAACATTTTAATACTTTCCGTTATTTATGAGCTGTTCTTTTTTTTACAAGTCATTTTCCCTCATATCGTCTGGCTCCGGTCGGAAACCACAATTAGCGCGTGTAAATCTCTCAAATAAGTAAAAAAGTTTACTTGAAGACTGTTAAGACTTTGATTATTTATATTTTTGGAGTATCTTGGAAGCTCAATTTCATCGGGATCCCGGTCTTTCGACTAGTGATATTCAGTCGATGGAACAATACACTTTTATGTTCTTCTGATTTATTCGGCACTCGATACCTACCTTTGCATATCGTTCGATCAGTTTTTTCTTGTAATTATGGTTGTTCCTGTGTATTTGTAAGTGGCACGATTTAGCGCTAGCCTTGGCTTGAGGGAAATGACGGGCATTGGTGGCAGAATACTAATCTTTCATTATGTGCTATGATTCCTGATCAGACTGGAACTTCGGGAGAGAGAATAGTTGAAGCATTTTCATGAGTGGAAAATCTTGGCTTTGGGATAGTTGGTAAAGTACAGTAAGATGTATGTAGGTGGGTGTTAGCGGAGCGGTTGAGAAGCAAATGGTCGCTCCGCATACTTTGCATTGTGGGTTGTAGTAAAGCTATTCAAGATCGGATTCATATAATACCGTTTTCAGCCACTGTCAATATCACTTATTCACTTCTGGTATAATCTTAAGTTTGAATTCCTGGACACCTTGTGTTACCTACCTAGTATGGACCATTGATCTTACACTCATGGCAGTACATTTGTATGGCACCGGGTTCCACATGAGCAAACAGACAAACGATGAGTTACAGTACCATATGCTATGCATCTCAGAGGCGAACCCCCAACAATCGTGAACATCAACCTGCCAAGACCAAGACAACTTCACGGACGAACGAACAGCGAAAAAAAAACCAAGATGAACAGCAAAGAGATCGTCACTGCTTTGCAGGTCTTGCAGGATAGAGTCAATTCTCTCGAGCGCGAAATGGCTAGGAAGAATTCAGAGCTTCATGAAAAGAACGTCGTTATTGGATTCCTCCGAGACGAATGTCAAAGATATGCGACACAAAATACGACGGTACTAGTAGCTGGACATTCACAAATCTTACCCCATGTTCCTATTTTCGATGTCGATGAGCATGCGAAGCATTCGATTGATTTCGATTATTGGCTAAAGAGAATGCAGTCAAAATTAGCCATGGACCATTATTTGGGAGCTAGTCGTATGGAATACGTTGTCTCTCGACTTGGTAGTGGTCCTTCGGCATATGTTGATAAGAGATATCAAACAGCGGAACAAATGCTTGAGGCTTTGAACAAGATATATGGCAACGCCGATCGGAAAGAAGCCGCTGAGTTTGCTTATCGCCATCTATTTCAAAAGGATAATGAGCAATTTACACTGTTCTGGAAAGAGTTTCAACGACTAAGTGCGGTTCTCGAAATGACCGAAGCGATGATGGTTCATGACTTGTATGGGAAACTCAATTTGAGATTGCGGAAAGCTTTGATAGATGTCAATCTTGATAATATTGAGGATCTAGGAAGGATTTGCAGGGTGGAGGATAGAAAATTGCGAGAAATGGAGGATCTAGAGGGTCCCGATGAATAATGAGTCGATATTCTAAGGATTGTTGAGGGTTATAGATCTAGATGATGAGAGCAGCGCGTGAACTGCATTTTGGGTGGAGGGTATGATAACCAATTGCTGCAAACTTTTGGCGACTGTTGTCGTGGTTCTTTCTTCGTTCTGGTCTGAGGGGTGCGGGAGGGAATTACTGTGATCCCGCGGTAGCCTAGCATTTCGAAATATGTGATATGATCAGAATCTAATCCAAGAGCACATTATCTTCAGATCCCCAGGATTTGGGATTGGACATTGCCGAATTTCTGCCTCTGCGATTCATCCGAGGCTTTTCGCGTGAACAAGAAGAAAGCGGAGAGTCTTCCTTGGATATTGAGGTGCTGGATCATCTATAAGAATAACAGGGCGAGGGAAATGGATCTAAGTACCTCCGAATCGTTCTCATCCGACTAACAAATCATTTGGTACTGCAAAGCTTTGGTTGGGTGTGTTGTTAAGCGAATTGGTTGTGGATCTTAAAGTCGGAATAATTCTGTCAAAATGAGAGAGGACTAATGGGCACTGAAAAGCCTCTTGGAAGCAGGATTCCATGAGAACCTTTCCCCCTGAACTTCTACATGACTTGGCAAGTAAGATTTCTACCAATAGGTACCCACAGTTATTTGAGTATGAATTTATAGATTATTTTAAATTTGGTAGATCACTGGATCATCTGCGCAACAATACGTTGAATTTTAGGTCTTTTTTTGCGGACTTAGGTGAAAGATTGAGATTTCTACCACTCTTTCAGAAGTGCTCTAAGGTTTCGAAAGCTCTGAAAGCTCGTATTGGAAGATTTCTTTCCGGCAGGAGTACTCCAGAAAGAAGACGTGCTTTGAAAGGGAGTGATTGACCCTAAATCTACGACCATAACCCATCACTTCGTGAAGATTATCTGCGACCTAATTCACCGCAATTTAGAACGATGGTATGATGTCACCGTCTCGGTAGAAAGTCAAAAGTTGCCATCTACCATCACAATGTCATTAGCTATATTGACAATTATCTCAAAGAACGCCGTAGATGTCTCACTCAATTACCGAAAGGTAGATGATCTAAAAGAGACAACATCAACTGTGCTGCAACCATCTCCAGCTATAGAAGTGAATTTCTCAAGGAAATTAATAGATTGCAGGCTCTGTAAGTTTTAGAAGCGGCAGTACTTCGTCTCATCTATGGTGTGAGCAATCCCTCTTTGAATCTCAAACCTCGAATCATGGATTAAAATTCCATATCTCGACATTCTTATAAAATTTTGAGCAACCTCTATGAATCCAAATCTTTTATATCTCCTTGCTTTAGAAACATGAAAATGATTCCTGGCTTGGTCTTACTATCAACCCTTTATACTCGAAACAATCCTCGAAAATTAATCACAACGTTGAAAGGTGTCGGCAGTTCATCATTCTGCTACACTTGGTTGCTCTGGCAGCTCAACGGAGAGTTCTATCAGCATTCTTGGCCGTGGCAGCTTGCTATGCGGGAGCGCCTTTATAGAAAGTTCCAGACGATTCACTTCTGGTATGAAGACTCGAGATTGATTCACTGTAAGAAATTATGAGCCGTGATTAATATTGCTCAATCACCAATCCATACACTCAGAATATTCCACAATCATCCATCTCGTGCAATGTTCACGGGCAGAGCATAAAACAGTACCTTCAAAGTTCAACATACATGCACATGAGTTTGAGTGAATATATGACCCGAGAACCAAGATTGATTAGGGTCAGCAATTTTTGTAAGAGTGCGGCAGTGGCAAATTTGGGTGGTGTCATTCATCAATTTTGTGTCCATAGTGCACCTTTTGTTTTGGCCCATTTTGATACCAAATAGCATATTGCGCAACTTTATCTTTCGAAATGAGCTGAGCTGATTTCGCGATCCCTAGGTTTGCACTGGTCCGGAATAAATGCGTCGCGTATTTGAAACTGCATTTAGAATTAGATATGAGAAGCCTGTCACGAGAACGGATATAAATTTGTATGTATTAAGAGCTAGCTACGACATCACGAGCTCTTAGATGCATGAAGGAGTCTAGTATAAGCATATGACCACAGGACTAGTTTTCTCATAGACTATACTACAGTGCAATTTAGGTTATGTGGATCACATCAAATGACATATATCCTTCCTTCTTTATTCTTCCTAGAGATATGATTGCAAATATGATCTTTGTTAATCGAAAGTTTGCTTGTACACCCATATACTTGGAACTTCTATAAGTGTAAGTTTGATTCCTCACCCGTAGTAACAACTCTCTCTATGAAAGAAAGATGATGTTGTTAATATCCTCAAATTTGAACCATCAGTTTTACACATTCCAAAAATCTTTCGTATACGATCTTGTAATTGAACCAGTCTCATTGAATGATGAAACTTTCTAACATTTGGGAGTCCTTGTATTTTTTCTCATTTCTCAAAGTCTTTCGATACAATTAGTAAGCAAAGTGGGTTAGAGATTTGTGAGATAATGTAGTTTCACCTGATATATATTAGTGGAATACAATAGTAAAACTTTGAATTGAAGAATGTTCAAGGTACTAAAGAATTTCTACTTTGAACTACTTGGACTACTTTTCCCCTTACCCTTTTAGTATTACATGAGCATCCATACCTTTAGCTCCTCTTAAGACTAACCAGTCTTCGTCTTCTATTAGAAAAATACCTACTATCATCTGATTATCCTTATTTACACCCCTTGTTCATACTACTCAAACCTCTAAAAGAAAAAGGACTAAAGCGTATTGAAGGAGAGATGAATTTGATTTTTATTCCTAATAAAATAGAAACTATTTGAGATATTAGAATTCGCTTGATTTGACGCCAGACAGTATTGTAGTATTCACTATGCCATCTCTATCTATTACTCAAACTTTTAAGATATCTCACCTAATTATCTTCATAGTAGAGAACTTCAATCTACGACTTCTAGTAGAATAATATAGAATTTCTTCTTTTTGACTTTTGCTCCCCTAATTCAAAAGCCTCTTAGTATTGACAAATGCCTAAGGTCACTCATCTGTAATTACATTTCTGTATTCATATAATCTTTACGTGTTAGTCGATGATTGTCTATTCTTGACGTGTCTTCTTTTAAAATTTGGATTAAACCTCTTCTTTTTCTTAGGATATTACTGTTATCTTACTTATATCCTTGCTGATTCATTCAGATGACATTCAATATTCATTAGAATAACTTGAACTATGATTCTTCCTTCTTCAATCACCTACTCTAGTACTCTTCCTCATATTCCTCAAAACTTTCAATTGTTCGTTGTATTCAAGTCATATACACTCATAAAGTATTCAATCCTAAAAAAAGATTTGTCTCCTCTCGTCTTATCTTGTCTGTCTGTTTCATTCTTAATTCTCACTTTAAAGTCGGACAATTGAAGTATTTGTAATTGAATCTCATGAATTTTGATTTCCTAATTTTCTCTCAAACTTTTATAAATACAGCTCTCCTCTTTACTTTATTAACTATAAGTTTATAGCTAGGACTAAGAGGTAGACCATGATTGAAAATTTCTCTTATCTGATAGTAATTATGCCTAATTCATATGATAAACTTGAACGATTGTTGTTCTTCTCTATTTCCAATTAATGACAGCCTGCTTTATTCCACTTGAACTTGTCTACTCTAAGCTATCCTCTCTAAATTACAAATAAAAGTACTCAAACTTTCATTCTGATTCAAACAATCGCAAAGTTTCATAGTCATCATCTCTAGTCCTCAAAATAAAGCACCCAAATTGCTTAATTTGAACATGTGACGAACATGTGACATGCTATTGATGAACTTTTGGGAACCTTTTTAACACATCAGGGGCGGCAGAACTTCGGAGGTAGCTAACCGACAGATTAAGGTGGATGTGAGAACTATCTTGATGTACATCAGAATAAAATAAAGAGATCAAAAAGTGTTATAAATGATGGAAAATATGTGTTTCCTGTTGTTTTATGTTTTTCGTAGGTTTACTGGATGTTTTCTGGACCAGATGATGATAAATTGACGGTAATTGTGTTAAAAAATGATGGAACTTTTGCCAGACATTCATGTCATGTAACGCCAAATGATGTACATTGATGATTGAGGAAGTAGAAAAAGTTGATTTGAGGGACTTTGAGTTGTTCTTATATGGTTTTGAGATGTCTATAGACATTTGGGGATGTTTAGGGGTGTGTATGAGTGTTTTAAAACAATCTTATTGATGGTTCTAGAAGGTTCATGAACATGGTATCTTATCAACATTATGTTTCAATATCTAATTTCTGTGACCTTGAATATTTTTGAGGTTTATGTCAACTACACAAAAATGTCCATATTTACATCCCACTGAGTGGCAACGGTCACCTACATGGTATCTAGATCAAACATACACGTCAGAATTCCATTGTGATCGTGATTTATTGCTAAAATACCACCTAAAGCTATGAAACAACATTCTAATCCAATCTGACCTTGTAGCCTACAGCAACACCATAGAGTCCTTCATTATGGTCGAAGTTCCTTTTACTACTTAAAGCATCAAGCCCATCTATCAATGTGTTTTGCTCCAGTGCCGTCAACCCCTACATCCCACCTGAGCGCCCACTTGATTCCTACCCTGCACCTGCCATTTGGCAGGTCTACCAGGCTCTATATTCCGAAAAGTAGCTTAAGTTCCGGTTCCTCTCTATGATGCCCGAAGTACTTCTGTTATGAAGATTATTGCATGTCAAAGCCAATGTGAACATCCTTCGAGGGCATACCGTTCGGGGCCCAGCAGATTAATCGATGATGTGAACAGAGAATGTCGAGGATAGAGGTGGCAGAGCCTAAGGATTCAGAGTCTAGAGACACGGAGGTAAGATTTCGGTATGAAACGCGCTTGTGTGAAATCTTTGAGGGTACCAGTCATAAATATCTAGCAATCTATGCTTCGAAGGTTCAATTCGGAGTGTTTGTATTGATCATCGAGGAAAGCATCCGTAACAGCTAAGATCTAGAGGCATAGAGGGTATATTTCGAAGCGCTTGTACAGCGTGCAATTGCAGGTGATAGCAATTAGAGCGCATGCATTTCAAGACGTAGAGGGTTTAATTCGTAGTGTTTGTATAATGCTGCGAATTATGGTGGTCGTCGTAGGGGCATGGATCTCGAGGCATAGAGGTTGATCGCGTTATGCCTATACAAAGAAGACTGGAGATCAGATTGGTTTTAGTTGCAGAATGTTGATCATAAAGGAGAATGTAAAATTCTTTGAAGAATTGGGGCATACTATCAAGGAAAGCATAGAGAATGCTCACGGAGAAATCAGGAGAAGGAAATGGAGCGCATCGGTCGGTCTTTCATAACCGCTCTACCCAACTAGCCTGATAATCGACAACCGGCGACGAAGCGATGGCTGTATAGCAGAAATACAACTCTCTTTGCCGTGCGCTGTTTACTGTTGTGTGGTCTGCCGATAGGATTCCTTGTGGTCTTCGGCATTGAAGGATAAAGACACGACTAAACTTGCTGATGTAGGTGAACAACCCATGGGCTTTCCGCACTCTATGCTGCTTTTTCTTAGGAGACCTGCTAATGTCGCAATTGCTGGAAGTAGGATCGGGGTCGAAGTATATTGCGCTGTAGTGAACAGAGAACGGAGACGACCCCACGATGACAATGAAGGGCACGAGCTGTGGAGTATATCTGCAGAGAAGGAAGGCCGAGGCGCTGGGTAACAATAGGCGGGAATGGAGAGGCCCAGAGGCTAGGTTGCAGTAGGAACAGAAGGATAGAGCCGAAAGGATGGGTTGGAGTCGATGGGAAGGGTTACGATTGTGCCACACGAGGCTGCGAAAGAAAATGGAGCGCTTGCAATGCGCGAGGCAGATGAGGTTGAAGCAGAGAGGAGTCGAGGAAAGCTCGCCGATAGAGAGAAGTGGGTAATCAATCTTTTGTTGGCGCGGTACAAGTGGGTTTGAAGGAGAATTTGGGCTGTGATTGAGAATAGGTGGACGGCCCTACGGCAATACAAACAAGATATGCAAGAATCCTAGCAAGGAGTTCTTAAGCAGCGCAGCAGATGTAATCACAATTGATAGGTTTCTAGCAGATAGCAGATAGAAGAACAGGAAGACTCTACGTTGGGAAGGGATCCCAAGAAGCCTGAAGGGAGGGCGATGGGTGATTGACAAGCAAAATTGATACATTTCTATTGTAACTACATATATACACGCATCAAACACATGTTAATCAAGCTCAAAATGATCTTTGAACCTCCAATATTGTACTCGTTTGAGCCCTATCTATCTACACCTCTCTACAGATCCTCATCGGGTCTACTTCCGGCCTTCCTCCGCAGTATTGCCGGAGTTTACAAGGACGATGGAGGTACCTGAATGGAGGAGGTAGCGAATCTAGCCTTATCATGTGATGCTGTGCTTTGCCTCGCCTTGATCGATATATAAGTTCTGCGCCCACGATCTCGTTTCCAAGGATTTCCTTTCCACAACATCCCATTTGCATCCATCAATTGATGGACTGCCTGTACCATACCACTACTTTGTCTTTACAAGAACACATTAGCATTATTTTAATCGATTGCTTCGTTCTCTACGCTTGATAAGCTCTTTGCGCTCACTTCTCCGGTGTCGAATCTCAACCATCTTTGCAATTATCAACCATCAACGTCGCCATCCTATCCTACAGTTCAGATAACTTTGTAACAATCTGCTGACAATATGATGTCTGATTCAGATATCTGCAAATTTAAAGTTGCGGGGCTCGTCGAAATCGAGCTTAAAAAGCCGTATAATCGCGATGGAAACATAAGAAAAAGTCACGCTCTTTGCATCGATGGTGTAAGTTTCTTATCCCTAACCTTTTTCAACGTTCTTTGCTTCTTGGGGTTTACTCTATATCCCCATATAACTTCTCTATTGAAGATAATATTGCTCTAGCCGCCTACTTCACTTGCTCACCACAATCGAGAGTCATTCTTCCTACTTCAACGATGTATACTAACTTCGGTTTATAGCTCACAACGCCACACAAGCCTCTATTGATGTTAAGTGAAAAGTACATCGCATCTCACCCCCCTGGCCGCAAAGAACTCTACGATCGACCTATCAGACATCTACAAATGGAAGCTTATAGCACACTTCTGCGATATAACGATGAAAAGCCGCTTAGCACTTACCATAGAGCCACCATCCACATAAATTTGGCTCGTTGCTTCGAGGATTGTCTCGACGAGAAAAGTGGCAGCCAGGATAACATACTCAATCTCATCAAATACCACTTCGAATGTGCACATGGCTGGGCAACGGCAGTAATCGATCAACGACAACTCGATGTCACAAGTGAGGAGTGTGTGCCATTCAATGATATCATCAATGCGGCCAACGACATCAAGGATTCCTTGTATGCTCGAAAGCTTTACATGGATGCCCTCGATGAAGATAATATGGTAGATGTCGCCTCTGGATTGAGAAACCCAACATTGCCTCTCGAAGTTGTTGATGACAATGTCTCGGAACACAACCAGAATTCTGAGGCACCAGACTCACAGTCTTCTGAACAAGTTGCAGATATTGGTGCACAAGATGACCTGGATGGAAGTGATACATCGACAGTGCGAGGCACTGATGACACAGTCAACAACTTTGACAGTGACTTCGATGAGCTTGGATACGAAGATATCATTGCAAAGGCAAGGCAAAACCCAACCATCGCAGTGGAACCTGCTCCAATCGATGTTACGGATGTCAGAATGATGTATGGTTTTATGCACTTCTTGGTACATGATAAGCTAGGCATTTGCAACTTGATGAACGGTTATCTTGACAGAATGGACGCTGCCCTCGAGCTTGGCGAGCCTGAAACCAAGATAATCAGAGATGGTGAGTCAAATACTTCTACAATGCATTGGTACAATAAATACTAATACACAGCTTCAGCGATGACGGCATTGAATGTTCGAGATAACGGCAATGGTCTCGCAGTTCCACCAAGCTCATCACCAAGCACACCCTCGGCACCATTCTTTCCCATTGCTTCTACCTTACCTATCCGCACACGCTCGAACAATACCGAACGCGAGTCTCGAAAGAAGAGAAAGTTCGCTGACGACGATGAAGAAGATGAGATGCTTTGATGGCTGGTTTGGTTTGTATGGCGGACAGAATCTCTACTCTGATTGATAGCTAGGTTCGTTTTATGCATGGGATACAGGATATGAGTGGCGGGGACATGTAGGCAGAAAAGCCCTTAATAGCAGATGAACGTAGGAATAATACAGCCACTAGAAAATGACTTCAAAAGCTTCCTGCGTTTTATGACCTCAAGTGATGAGTATATTGTGCTGGCTCAAGATCACCCAGTGTTTAGTCATGCACTCCTGTCCAGGCTACAACTTGTATTGAGCAAAAGAGTCTATGTTAACGCGAAAAGACTCCACTCCACTCCACAATGGCTTTGTGTCAGTAGCATAATAGCATTGTATGTATGAATCTATTTTAAGCTTTCACCCAACTAGCATTGGTGAGTGCCAACAAGCCTGGATGTATAGACTATATGTCCAGAATTCAGAAATCACAAACAGGAACAGACACATCTAGTCATCAAACATATATATGTTGATATAATTCATTTTACACAAGGTCCGCAGCTTTGAGACAATCTTGTTGCCAGACATTACGATGTAGAGAACTTCCCACAGCATAAATCTGGTGGAGATCAAGAATTGAAAGGTTCGAGCAAGTCGAAGAAAGGTTGAGTGATGTTCGGGCCGACAGTTAATCCATAAGGCTAAGTCTAGATCCCGTGCATCATAATCAAGTACAGTGTCTATTTAAATGACTAATAATTTACATATACATAGTTTTGTCCATCTACTTATTGGTCAGGTATCTTTTTTATGTCTATTTCCTTTCCTAGATACCTTTTAGATATCAGTTGAACCATATTGTACTGTGTGTGGGAAGAATGTAAAATTCTCATATTCACTTATTTGTTCACACAATGGCTTACCATACCGTATTCAATCAAAAACAATCATCTTGTTGGTTTTACACATGACAGATTTTAAGATTTGAACCGTAGTAAAATGACACTAACCCACTAAATCGCTTAGCCACACTGGTTTGTTTTGATTTCGGGCTCACCCACCTCTACTTAGGATTTTTGCCTGACAACTCAGATTTTTGACCCCTCCATTCTCCCACTTCTACTACCCACCCCAAAAGCACCTTCCAACCATAACGCTTCTCAAGTAAAGCTGCATTAAAAAAATACACCTGCAGATTTTATTCTACATATTCTTCAAGATATCCAAATAAGTCGATTCATCATGGCTGAACCAGCACACCAAGAGATCAACACCAGCAATGAGCCCAAACTCGTTGAGTCTGAGACTAAGCTCGCCACTGAGCCAGCAGCTTTAAAGGAAGAGTCAGCCAAGGAAGCTCCAGCTGAGGGTTCTGTATGTTGATAATTTCCTTTTTTATATTGTTTTCTGGAAGTTTCGTCGGTGCCATTACACTTTGCTAACCATAATCATGTTCAGACCTTGACCGAACAGGCTACAGCTGCCGCATCTACTGCCGCCGCGACTGTCACTTCTGCTGCTACTGGTATCACTGATAATGTTTTCTCGATGTTCGGTGGCGGAGCCAAGAAGGAGAAGAAAGAGGATGAGGACCGAGGAGATAACTCAGGATCTGCCAAGGCACAAAAGGCCGCCGCTGCTGAGGAGAACCCAGAGGTATTGTTGGACAATATGCACACACACACACACAAGAACAGAACTGATCATATCGTAGGATGAGGCCCCAGAATCCGAGGATGTTCACTTCGAGCCTGTTATTCGTTTGACCGAGAAAGTCGATGTTAAGACCAATGAGGAACTCGAGGAACAAACCTTCAAGATGCGCGCTAAGCTCTTCAAGTTCGTCAAGGATACTCAAGAGTGGAAGGAGCGTGGTACTGGTGATGTCCGATTCTTGAAGCACAAGGAGAACGGAAAGACCAGATTGGTTATGAGACGAGACAAGACTTTGAAGGTCTGCGCCAACCACTATGGTATGTTTGCGGCATTGAACAGTATTATACAGAACTTGGGCTAACGGTTAAAAGTTGTTCCTGACATGAAGTTGTCTCCAAACGTTGGTAGTGATAGAAGTTGGGTCTGGAATGCCGCAGCAGATGTTAGTGAGGGCGAGCCAGAGGCACAAACTTTGGCTATCCGTTTTGCCAACTCCGAGAGTAAGCATCTATGCCGCAGATACAAATCCTATATGGAAGCTGACATTTACCTAGACGCAAACCTTTTCAAGGAGGCTTTCATCAAGGCTCAACAAGAGAACGAAGTTTTCTTCAAGGCCTAAACGATAGATTGGTCCTCGTATTTACTTCAACTTTCCAAAACGACTCCTCAATCGACACAGCATAATCCAGCACAGCACGTTTCCTGAAGGAATGAATTTATGATCACATTTGCATTGAACCGCATTTCTTCCATACCCCGTTAACCATTTACGCGCACGTTGTCGAAAACCTCTTTTGTAAACATCGACAAATCGATACCTAGACATTCTGGTGGTCAGGTTTTCTCCAAAGATTGTATCATGATGATGATGACGATGATGGAGGATAGGAAGGTTCGATTAGTACTCAATTTTGAGACTATGGCATGTAGTTAGACTAAAAATACCAGTCCTTCATTCATCCCCAAAGCACTTTCCGTTTTGTATATATTTTGAGATGTGAACATTGAGACTTGTATGTATTATGGACCTTTTTTGACTAGACTTGTTCGAAGCAGATGTAGAATAGACAAATGTATACCTAGCTAGGTAGGTACTGTGTTCGTTGTTTCAACTCTGAGAATGTCTTATTTTGAGTGAACAAGCTTCGAGGTTTATTTCATCAAGAGAACAAACAAAGCTGAAGTCTACTAGTACTCAAAATCTTAACAAAACTCGCTCAAATCTTCAACGATTTGGATATTGATTCTCTTCCAAATCCCTAGAATTGATAAATTCCTTCTCCAGGTACACGTGATTCTCTATTCTCAATAGTCTTGAGCTTGAACTAGCAAGGGTATCAGTACCCCACTCAAATTACGATCAGCCAACTGCAGGCGCGTCGCAATTGAGAACGACATCATCAAGAATTCGAAAATCCGACAAAGCTTATACCATCAAAATACCGTCAAGATGGTGGCAGAAGTGAGTAATTTGAAAATGCTCAGCTTTCAGTTCTCCAATAGCACTTGGAACGTAATTACTAACTGCGGCGCAGATTAAAAGAATGATCAAGCTCGTCACAGAGCAGCGCAACATGTAGGTCGCGATCTAGCTTTCAATTTCCCAATCTTATACTGGATCTTGAGAATACATGCTGAAACTCACCCCACAGAGATAAACCAGCGCTTCAAGAAGGGTTCCCAATGAAATCATGGAACATCGAAATCTTTATGTTAGATGAAAGTGGAAACGAGAGGCCTGCGACCTGCTTTACAAAGGCAGTTTACAATCTACATCCTACCTTTCCAAATCCAACCCAAAGTAAGTTTACGAGCTACAAATTTTTCTTGCACGCGAAGCTTGTTAAGTTCTCGATTTAACGTTTGCCACCACACAGCTTTTACTGAGGCTCCTTTCCGCTGTGAGAATGAGGGATGGGGAGAATTTGACATGACGATCGATTTATTCACTACTCCAACGGGAGGCAAGCATAGCATTGCACACGATCTCAACTTTGCCAAGAGCCGCTATGAAGCTAAACATCCAATTACATTCAAAAACCCAAGTCGAGAGCTGATTAATTCATTGAGAGAGACCGGGCCAGTTCCAGGAGACGAAAATGGAGCCATTAGAAAGAAGGACGCCGATGGAAAGAAGAGGAAGAGGGCTGGCCAGGTAGATATGGAGAATTTGGCAGAAGGATTGGTCAAATTGCAGGAGGATGACCTCTTGCATGTGGTGCAAATGATTCATGATAATAAGAGTGAGGAAACATATACGAAGAATGATGTTGAGAGTAAGTTCGAGTCGAGGCGCTATTAATGAAAGCTGAGAGGGGAACGCTAACGCAAATAATGCAGTGGGAGAGTTCCATGTCGATTTGTATACATTACCAGACTCATTAGTGAAGATGCTTTGGGATTTCGTCCAGACCATGCAAGGAAAAGGTTACTAGATAGGAGATGATATTTCAACGAATATGGAGAAAGCTAGCGATAATACACACATTTGGGAGGAAAGCAATATACTAGGTAGGTATTGAAATTGGATCATGGATGGTTGATGGATGCATTCAATTATGGCAGCTACTTCGAAAAGCGTTTTTCACAGACATTTTACTCAAGCAAAGGGGGGACTCATCAATCACAAGTCCAACTTTCACGGCGTTCCAATTTTCATCATCGGGCATAGGATGGCATTTCGATTGCTTCATTTTTTAGTTACTTTTTCTCATCTTCATTGAAGGGAGGCGGTAGGGCGTGAGCGGGTGGGCGTATTCCGACGGGTCCATCTTGCAGAAGATCGCGTTACATGACTTGCTCTTGGTCAATATTTTCTACGAAGCACAGTGACCGGAACGGTGGATCTGATCAGATCATGGTGGTTCACGGGATACATAACTGGCAAAATTGAATGAATGGATGAACGAATGGATGGATGGTAGGAGGAAATTGATTAGGAATGGAATGGAATCTTTATAAAACACTGGTATATTTCATTGTGATTTTGTGGTATTCATACGTGAATACGTGATTCTATCCATGTATTTCTCTTATCAATGCTGCAGACCAGCAGGACTACCTAGGTAGGTAGATTGGCTGACTATAATAATAGCCGGGTATCATTCCAAATCCATACGCCATTTTCCCCATATGCTCCTCTAAAATGCTTTATCAAATGATTCCCATGATATTCCTCAAGGTACCCGAGTCTATATCTTCTTACTCGTCATCCCCGAAACTCAACTTTATCTTTTTACCATTCTTCGCCGCAGCTTTAGGTTTTGACTTTGATGCGGCTGTAGCTCCAATTTTACCACTTTCACTCTTCTTCTGAGTCCCCGTATCTATTTTACTCGAGGACTTATCATCACTTTTCTCCTTCTCCTCTCCCTTCTCAATTTCCTCCTCCTCCAACCCTCCAATAACCTTCCCAACCTTCCTCTTCTTACTCCCTCCTATCCCTACCGCCATCTTCGCACTCTCTTTCTTTTCCGTCTCATCTCCCTCTCCCCTCCCTCCCTCATTTTCCTTCACCTCCCCTTCTTCTCCTTTCCGTTCCTTCTCCCGTCTCTCCCACTCCTCTTTACTCCACGTCTCGCCGCTCACCTCGTCGAAAACCACGGGCTCGCTTTCCCGCTCCGCGTCTTCGTCGATGGGTTTGCGCGGACGCGAAATGGTGAATTCGTGGCGTCCGTCGGAGGTGGAAGCGTGGTTGGATTGGAAACGTTGGAGGAAGGGGGGGAGGGTGCTGTCGTAGGAGAGGTTTTTGGAGGTTATTTTTGACATGGTGGGTGGGGGGATTGGTGGGGTGGGTGATGGTTGATGTTGGATGTTTGATGGTGGATTTAGAATAACTGGTTGGAGGGGGTATTGATTTTGGTATTGATTTTGAATTTGATATTGATACTCTATTGATATCAGTATCGATACCTAGGTATGTGACGGGAGACCCCAGACAGACCCGAAGCTTTAAAAAATTATACGGCGGGGTAGAGATAGCTTTGGTGCTGTTTTTATCCGGTAAGGTTACGGATGTCGAGATTGAAGTTGGAGTTGGGGTTGAAGGATGATTGATTGATTGTATTAGTAAGAAGGTATAACGATTGGCCAATGGGGAATCGGGATATAGGTAATATTTTTCCGTAGTTGGGATGGAAAAGGAGAACTGGCTTTTCTTTAGGATGAGATGACTGGATTGGGATGGGATTGAAAATCTCCGATTTGATGTGTATGTACGATATATATGGGAAAAGAAGGGGGTTCTAGAATGATTTTATGTTATGTGCTTGGGACGTATTGTATGTCTTGTATGTATGTGATATGGATGTATAAGTAAGAAGCTACCTCGTCTCTATGAAGCTCACAACTGAGTCAAACATATCGATATTAATGATGGATACCTACCTAAGGTTATCATGAATCCTCCCACCAAGATATATATTCACTTATCCCCAACTTTGAGGCTGGTGGATAGATTATATTCTCCTATTATTAGAGGATTCTTTCCTAGTAAAATATCAGGCTGTATTTGTATTGTATGTATACTTATTACTCATCCTTCGCCCATATGCATCTATGTGATAAACCCTCTCGACTCGATTCATTCAGGGGCAATTCAGATATCCTACATCCTACCTACTAACCTAGGTTGTGATAGAGCAACGAGATACCCTTATTGATTATGTCAAAACTTCTATATGAGATACCGACGTACAGGTATCGAAATGGGGTTTGGATAAGAGGCAATAATTGGGATTACTTTTTCTAGTTGTAATTCATTTTGCTCTGTGATTGCTTGTGGGCTATCAGTAAGAATTGAAGTGACCTACCTACTACCTATCCTATCGTCCAGTCTTCGGGATTCAATTCCATCCGTTTTGTTAGTATTGTGAAGTAGTTCTTGTCAATCTTGTCAGTCTTGTCAATCTTGTCAGTCTCGTCTCGTTTCGTATAACATCTGAACATCCAACATCTTCTCCTATCATTTCTCTCCCTCGCTCATCCATCCCAGGACTTTCCTCTCCACTTTTTACCTACAATTCCCCTAACCTTAACCTAAAACAATAATCCCACACCTACTGGCACACCTACTGGCACACCTACACCTACTCCCACACCCACATACCCACACACCAAATATCACACACCAAAATCTGAACACTTCTCTGGCCTGACAAACCCTTCCAGAAATACTCCACACCCGCAAATAACCACAGTCCACCTTATCTCACTTCCCTTTTCTCTAAATCCCCCAAGTCGTTCTAGCCCATCCACATCCATTCATTGATTGCATTGCAACACACGACAGACAGACAGTCAGTCAGTCAGTCAGTCAATTCACAATAACGAATTCCTCTGGAAATTTGCATGTCATAATATTTTCAAGTTTCTTCTCGCCATCAACATAACAGATTTATTTCTTTTATGTTGACGGCAGAAACTCCTCAGAATAATCATACACACGTTGAGGTTATCGCAAAAGTGTTTCTTCTATCTTCGAGGACACCCAAGGTCCAAGTCGCTCGTTATTAGAAAAAAGTATCATCGCTTTTTATGAGAAAGGAATAGCGACTCTGCCAAAGGAATTCCCACTTGGATTTGTTTCGATTCGAGATTCCATTATACACTCGATTCCAATTACTTTTTGTAATATTATCAATTAATCCAGATACGGCACACACTGGGTAGTGTCCTCTTCTTTTAACGGCCTGGGGTCGACATAAATTCCCCCTATCTATCTCGAAATTTTGTCTACGAACGGATCCTCAACTATCTCAACCGCAACCACCATGAGTTTCGTTCAGAGGGTGATGAAGCGCATGCCTTCATCAACACAATTACCATTGGATGATGTAAAGGAGAAGCCCAAAACCACATCTAGATTGGCGTTTTTCAGGCGGCCGCTTCGATTAAAGGGCAATTCCAGCATTTCGATACCACTCGGCGTAGTTCTATTATTTCCATGTATTGTCGTTGTATTGATTTTGGTGCTTTTTGTTCGCCATCCTAAATCGGGTGTGGGAATTTTAATGCCAGCTGGAGCACCACCAGCTATCAGGTATGTTTTGGGATCGATCAATCTTTCTTCTCTCTCGAAAGACCACGGTCACTAACCTTTTTGTGTGATTGTAGGAGGATCAGTGAACAACATGATAAGGTCTTCGTGACGGGATGCGCGGAGCCTGATACCAGTCAACCAAGAGCCAATGCAGCATTCGTTGTGCTAGCAAGAAATAAGGAATTGGAGGGAGTCATTCAATCAGTGAAATCTATCGAAAGGCATTTCAATCGATGGTATCATTACCCCTACGTTTTCCTCAACGATCAAGAATTCAACTCGACATTCAAAGAAGTCATTCAAAACTATACCAGTGCGCCATGTGAATTTGGAACCATCGACCCTAAGCATTGGGGATTCCCAGAATGGATTGATCCCAAGGTTGCCAAAGAGGGTATTGCAAAACAAGGTGATGCTGCAATTATGTATGGTGGTATGGAAAGTTACCATGCCATGTGCAGATTTTATTCAGGGTATGCCCACGAACCACAATTATGAGCTTGAGGGAAATGAGGAAATACTGACAAGAGACTAGATTCTTTTACAAACATGAGCTTCTGGCTAAATATGAGTGGTACTGGCGACTGGAACCAGAAATTAAGTATTTCTGTGATATTACATAGTATGTCTTACTTTCGTGGAGCACCTATAGATCAAGCTAACAAATTTATAGTGATCCTTTCCTTAAGATGATCGACTCGAATAAGACTTATGGTTTCACTATTGCCGTTAAGGAATTGAAGGAAACGGTCCCAAATATCTTCCGTTACGCATCTGCATATAAACGAGTCAATAACATTACATCTCAAGGTCTATGGGAAATGTTCGTCGAGCCTCCTCCTGAGGAGCCCAAGGAGGTCCCTGAAGATGATCCAGCTTATAAAAGACCATTACCTGAGGAAATTCTTCGAGGCGATCCATCTCGCGCATCTTTACCAGAAATTGATCCAGAAGCTATGGAAGGAGAAAAGTACAACATGTGTCATTTCTGGTCGAATTTCGAAATTGCTAGACTTAGTTGGTTCAGAAGTAAGGAATATGAAGACTTCTTCCAAATGATGGATCGCAGTGGTGGATTTTGGATGGAGAGAGTAAGTTAATATCTTGAAGGTTTCCAGTATTGAACTAACAATAAATCAGTGGGGTGATGCACCCATCCATTCTTTAGCCGCTGGTGCTCTCCTCGCCCCTCGCGATATTCATTACTTCCGTGATTTTGGCTATAGACATACAACTATTCAACATTGCCCAGCAAACGCACCCGCACGTCAAAGAGCGCGCGAACCTTATCTTGAAAAGACAACATTAGACGAGAAGAAACGAAAGGAAGAAGATGAATACTGGGACAATTGGGATCCAGTCAAGGAAAATGGAGTTGGATGTAGATGTAGATGCGACACGGATATTGTGGATGTAGAGGGCAAACAAGGAAGTTGTTTGGCAGAATGGGTAGATGTTGCAGGAGGTTGGGCTAGTCCTTGAGAAGATTAATCGAGGGGTGAACGATAGGATAGGATGTATTGAGGAAATCATGTCATGTCATGAATGATATTGGAAGGGAAGGGAAGGGAAGGGATAGGGTTTTTAGAGAACCCTATTTTGGGGATGAAAATGGAAATGGATGGAGAGTGATGATAGGAGGAATCGAATGATGGATGGATGGATGGATGGATGGGATGGGGAATTGGAATGGGAAAGAAATGGGATTGTAAAGGATGTGATGTTGCATATTATCTTTTTTTTTTTAAACTGTTCATTATTCATGATGAGAAATACAAAAATGATTCCTGGTCTGATTTTTGTTTGTGTGGTTTATGATTTGGGGGGGTGTATTTTGGGTAGGTGGGTGATTTGTAAGATGTAATATGTGAGATTCTCGGATTCGAGATTTTAGATTTTGAATTTTTCTTAGGATGGGGAAGGATAATGGGGAAGGATTGGAATAATGTTAGAATGTGTTATATTGTATTGTATTGTTTATGGAATTATAATCGAATGAATAATAAGTGAGTAAGTAAGTAAATAGTAATTGTAGGATTGTGGGTTTTGGGAAATGGAAATAGATGAATAGATAGGTTAGTGGATAGGTGAGTAGATAGGTAGGTAGATAAGGAAATAAATAAATAGGTAGATTGAAAGTTAAGTAGAGGCTTGGTTTAGGGGTGAGAGTTGAAAAGGTGGTGGGAGTGAGAGGGTGGTGGGAGTGAGGGAGAGGGAGATGGAGGAGGGGAAAGGGGAGAGGAGAGAGGGGGGAGAGGATAGAGGGAATAGGGGATGGGGGATAGGTAAAGGGGAATGAAGGGAGAAGGAAGAGAAGAGGAATTAGGAAATGGGAGAGGGGAAAGAGGAATAGGGGAAGAGTGAGAGGAAAGAGTGAGAGTAAGGAGAGTGGGGAGAGGAAAGGGTGAGAGTGGGGAGAGGAGAGAGGGAATGGGGGATGGGGGATAGGTAAAAGGAAATGAAGATGGGGGATAGAGGAATATATAAATTGTATATAGGATCTTGAGGAAGGCGTAATGGGGAATGGGAGGGGAATGGGGAATGGGGAATGGGAGGGGAAGGGGATGGGGAAGAGGGAAGAGGGAAGAGGGAAGGGGAATGGGAAAGAGGGAGGGGATGGGGATGAAAGAAGATAAGGAAAGGAGAAGGAGATGGAGGGGAGTGAAGAGGAAAGTAGATATATAGGTAGATTTAAGTAATTGTAGTTATGGTGATTATGAGATGAGAGTAGTGGAGTGGTGAAGTGGTGGAGTGATGGTGATGGTGATGGTGATGGTATATAAGGGTTTGGATTAGGTTGGGCTGGATTAGATTGAGGTGAGTTCTTGGTTTTTCTTTATGGTTAAATTAAATTAAGTTGGGTTAATTCGATTTCAGGTGAGGGAGTTGTTAGAATTTAGAAGGAGATACTTAAAGTTTTGAGGTTTTCAGTCTTGAGATTGTGAATTGAATGAAGGTTATCTGGATAGTTTTTAAGAGGAGGTGAGAGGATGATGGGATGTTGGGAAGGAGAGAGAGATCGGGATTGAGAATGATATATATATATATAGTTTAATAAAAAAATGGGGAGGGGGAAGGAGGGTGAGAAGCGAAGAGTGAGAAGCGAATCTAACGAGATACTGAGTTTTTTTGAGAGGTATAGGGGGATAGGGAGTAGTAAGTATTATAAATAATAAATATTGAATAATAAATAGAAGTTAATAAGTAAATAAATAAATAAGTAAATAGATAAATAGATAAATAGATAAATAGATAAATAGATAAATAGATAAATAGATAAATAGATAAATAGATAAATAGATAAATAGAATATAAATAATAATAAGCTAAAGAAAGGAAATAAATACCATTTTGTATACAGATAGATAACTAGCTCGACCGGAGAAGGGGAAAAAAAAGCATCATCAACTCCCCAACACTATGCTCACTCATTTACTATATAGTTAACTACATATGGACCTGGAAGTTAGATTTGTAAATACAAAGTTGGGATGGTATTTGGGATCTGGCTTTTGGAGGATTGAGATGGTGATGTGGTGGGAGTTTGGGGTTTGGAGTTTGGGGTTTGAGGAGCTTTTTTTGTGTATTTAGTTAGTTTTGAATAGTTTTGATTTGTTTTGATTTGTTTTTTATCGAGATTAAAGATTGAAAATCGAAAACTAGTTAGGGAGTTTGTACTTGTGCGTTAAGAATGCATTGATGGATTATTAATCAACTGGGCTTGGGAAGTACTAATATATATAACACTTGCAATTAGATAAGGAGATGGATGCACTTTAGAATGCGAATTTAAGAGATGGTTGGGACTTGCTTTGATGCTGGAGGATTGAATTTGATGATATTTTGGGTTTTGGGGGGGGGGGGGGGGGGTAAGATATGGAAGATATGGATGGCGTAGAATTGTATAGATGTGTTGATGAGTTTTTGTAGTAGAAGAGAGATTGGGATGTGGTATTTTGATTGGAATTAGTTCTTTCGAGGGGTGGAGATGGATGTTTTTGTGAAATTGAAGAAACGCGATGAATGGATGTATGCTGAACGATGAGT